AAATTCATACTTACATCCCAGCTCCTTTGTTCTACCAGGGGTGATCTGAGCAGGATCACCCCTACCAGATCACCGTATCTTAAGTTTCTTTGTTTTGCATGATTTCCTTTGTTCAGTAACATTTTAGCGGGAATGTCAAATCTGGGACTATTATACTTGTTAGTATAATAGTCCCAGGTCAAATTCACAATCAAACTCAGATTTATTTCTACAGAAAAGACTAACTTTCAACAAAATTTATGTAGAAAATATCCTAAGCGACATCTCACGAGAAGTCACGAGACCTTTAGATTCAAATCATATTTCGAGCTGCAGTCATCGAGGACAGACGTGCCTCTGTCCTCCCTTTAAAGCTATTTTCCCGGGCTCGTGCAAAACGTGCTTTATTTTATATACGAAAGATATCCGAGTTCATTTATCGGTTCAATGTAAGTATATTTTATTTTATTTGTATGGTTAATATAATTTTAGGCAGATGGTGTCGTCTGCATTTTCATTTATTTAATTCTGTTATGGGAACGGATGGTGTCGTCCGTCGGAATTTTTTAAAAGGACAGTGGTCCTAGCAGATGGTCTGCATTGTTTATTTATTTTATTCTGTTATGGGAACGGATGGTGTCGTCCGTCGGAATTTTTTAAAGGACGGTGGTCCTATTTAGCAGATGGTCTGCATTTTTATTTGTTTTATTCTGTTGTGGGAACGGATGGTGTCGTCCGTCGGAATTTTTTAAGGACGATGGTCCTATTTATTTGAATGCACATTTGTTGTCTTGTTATTTAGGATGATGATCCTTTTTTATTTGAGAACAGACATGTGTTGTCTTTTGGTTATAGGATGCTGGTCCTATAGATTAATTTTATGAAGGTGGTCTCTTTACTTAAGAGAGCGAACTTAGTTTGTCGTGTTTAATTTAAGGATTATCGTCTAATTTTTATTGATTGTTTTTGACGATGTCATTTTTTTTCGAAACACGGGGTGATTTTTGGTTATATGTAATCGGCTGGTTGATTTTATTTAGTTGAAATCCTTTATAATTTTACAGAATTTTTTACTTCATCCGTGCGTTTAAGGTTTTGCTCTTTATTCATTCCCTATTTAGTCAGTTTGAATTATGATTTTATTATGTGATTTGAAGATCTATATAACATTTGATATGCTATATGATGTGTACGATTTGAGAAGTTTACCTATCTAGCATATTTCAGTCATAATGAATAAACATGTTTCGTCAGTTGATTGACCTAGATAGGTCAGTATTGATTTTATTGCATTGATTGAACAGGTGAACTTTCTGTGAAACATTTATAAAGTGTAAAGGTAATTACGCAAGTTTGTTGTCAAATTTAAGGTGCGCTCGATAGCTAATGATGTTCATGAATGAGTTTTATTTTTGTTTTGCGGTATTTAGATAGAAGAATAACTACCACCTATTCTTAATTTTTATAAAACGAATTCAGCCCCTCGTTTGTGGGCTCCATATAGAACATGTTATTTTATTTTATTTGAGGTAATTATAGGTGCTGTCGGTATACTTTGACAAGTGTCACGTGACGGGTAGTATTGAAATGATTGGCACATTCCAAAGTGATAGAAGTATTATGTTTGCAATGTGGGTTTATCTTTTAATCTGAGTTGACATTTTGTCGTATTTAGCTGTTTTTTGTTTTTTGTTTTTATTTTATATATATATTCGTTTTTATGGAATATATTATATTTTGTAGATGGCTGAGCCACACTTAATTTTAAAGCCTAGACATACACTAGTTGGGAAAGGTCTATTGCCAATAATTAAGAAATTAACGGCAGAATCTTTTAAGGATGTTCTGATGCTGGCTGGAAAAGACGTAAATTTGGAGAACGGTCTGCAACTCATGCACCAAGCCATTCTTTATGCCAATTTGATTGGCGGCCCAAAGGGTTCATCTTTAACTACTCTTGATCATGGTAAGCCATTTTTAATCCTGATAAATATATCATTCATAATATAGGTCGGAGTGTGACATGGGTGCAATTTTCTCATTCATTTTGGATAAGAATATATAATGTCAATAACTTATAAAATTAAAGGCATATAGGGTAGATGTGCATGTAACAAAACCTGCAATCGATTTGACGAAACAAAGTCAGAAGTTTTTCTGTCTAGTACGTTTTTGTGTACTTCTTAATTTATCATAACCAAATTGTATGTTTTACTATTTTTAAACGATTTCGAACTTGTAGAAAGATGTTTACTGAGAAACTACATTGTAGTGCACTTGCTATTTTGAGTTTGTACGCAAATTTATTTTAAAAGGTTGGCAGATAATCAATATTTTGAATAGTAAATTCTCATCAGAGTTGATTGAATTGAAAATTGGGAAAATTTCATGCTCACAAAAATAATCTTTGTCAATGGAGTACACTTAGCCGAAATGCAATATATTGGGTAATAATTGTAAGATTATTAGCTTTTAGTGTTTAATATTGGTATAATTATTAGTTATCTTAGTTAGTAGAATGTAAAATTTGATATGAATCTTTCAGGTGCATCGAGATCTGCTGCATCTACTACTAGACCTGTTACACCAATGGCTGGTGTCCAGGGGCCACAAATTCCAAATACCCCGGTTAGTATTTCTAACTCCACTAAAACTAGTTTTCATCTTGAGGGAAGACTTCGGAAAATGGAAAACAGTTTTGACAATTTGAAAAATCAGCAAATTTCGGATAAAGTTACAGAAGCATTAAAAAGTGTTAGAGCTTTGGCCGGGAGGCCAAAGTTGACGCCACCAAGCGTTCTTATAGCTGCATTAGAGTTTTTTGGTTGAGTGTGCTAATAAAGCAAGTCACCCAGAGGCTGATTTCTTTAGTAAGGCCTTGCAGGCTTGTAGACAATTTGAAAATCATGATGACATGTTTAAAATTGCTTGGGTCTTCAGAAGATAAAAAGATTTCAGCTACTATTGCTGAATGGCAAAAGAATGCTAGGAAAAATGAGAAAACTGAAGAGAAGGTTGATAGCAAGGGTTGTAACCAAATGCCTATTCAAAGTGTGTCGGGTCCATCAGCTTTTCCATATCCTGGTCCAGCGTTCCCTTATAATCTGTTCCCTGTAGGTTATGGTAATGGTTTTCCCGGCACATGGTCCCGCTGCTCCACCTTTCAGTGATTCAAGTATGATGCGAAACCCAGGTTTTCGCCCTAGATTCCAAAGGAGAACTAAGGGCGCTTGTTTCTTCTGTGAGGGGAATGGTCATCACGTGAACTCTTGACCGAAGTTGAAGAAGGAGTAGTTAAAATGTTTGCATTAAGTTTTTTCTGGATTACCTAAAAGTTTTTCCGTTAAAATTTCGTAAAGTTTCAAAGTTTTCTGGCTTTCATTCCATTGGAATCTAATCCTTAGTGGCTTATTTTTAGTCACGCGGAATGGAGGTCGGGGAATTTTTTCTCTGTAATTTTTTTTCATTTTAGGGTTTTATCAAAAAAAAATGAAATTTGAATTATTTGAATGGGAAATTAGGTCATTATTTGACCCTAGCCGTATTGATTTTAAAGAAAACAAAGAAGTTTGGGTGGATTACTGAGGAAGAGTTCTCCTACCTCCATTTTCAGTTCCCCGCGCAGAAGTAGCAGCAGAAAATAGTATTTTTGATTTAGCCAAAAAAGTTATGATAGATACTCTAGGATAAACAATTTTGTAGAGAACTCTGTAGGTTCCCTATTTAAGGAAATTGCTCGTTCACCTCAAACAGCTAAGAGAGTATTTGACGAAGTGGGTGACACAACCAAATTGCCTTCATCATTTCTCTAACTTCTCATTTTTTCAAGTGTTATTTGTATGAAAATAGTTTTCAGTGTATTTGTATTTAACGTTTACCGAATATTTGTATATATATGAATAAATTTGTATTTGTTAATATTGTATTTATTTACTTACTGATAACAATAAATGTGGAGTAATTGGTAATGAGACAATTATCAGACAATACGGCATATAATGATTACCAGTTTACGAAGAAAACGACTATAAATTTCATGGTTTTGTCTTTCACATATATTAAAAGAATTAGTCTTGGTTAGTTTGGGGTTTTTGTTTTTGTGAGTTTTGGGATTAATAGTTGATAAGGTATGATGGACGGATAGGGGTTTGCTTCAATGGTAACAATCTTGAGAGTAAGGATATGCGAACTGAAATTTCACGCTCCAATACTAAAAGCATCTAGTTACTTGGAGTGTGGTGTCACTTAGGATAGCCCTATATCCTAAGCGACATCTCACGAGAAGTCACGAGACCTTTAGATTTAAATCATATTTCGAGATGCAGTCGATCTAAGGATGGAGGTTGAATCTTCCTCTCTCTGAGATAGCATTTGTTTGTTGGTTTGGTGAACTTCATGTTCGTTAGAATAAGAACTCTCGACTACTATTTTGTTTTCCCCCGTCCCGCCCTCCCTCGTTGTCTGTGTTTTATCACACTCCAAGAATTGGATGCTCTCTAAAATTTCACGCTCCAATACTGAAAGCATCTAGTTACTTGGAGTGTGGTGTCACTTAGGATAGCCCTAAATCCAGTGTCTATGCTGGGATTCGAACTCGAGACCTTTATCATATAGACCTACGATTCATACCCCTACACCAGGACGACTCCCTGTTAATTTAATATATTTAATCATTGTGTCCGGGACTCATAAAGGATATATACTATATAATAATATATAAAGTAAATTATAATGATTGTGTGGCGCTCTAAACTAAATTTTATGAAGCGTAATTGTTTTTTTAAATCTAATCTAGAATAGCTGGGATGTAAAATAGTTACCCCATTCGGATTTGGTGTGTCAGTGTAAGATCAACCTCTGGCCTCCGGCCATCGGGATGATCTTACATTGACACACCGCGTCCTCATGGGAGAACGATTACGGAATATATACGAGAATAGCTCAGCTTAATGTTGTAATTGTCTGTGCCTGCATGGGTATTGGAAACTCTGTTCATAATGAATGTGGTTTTTTTTTTTCAGATTCTGGAGCAACGTACATTATATGGGGAAGAAAACAGTGCCCAAATAATAATACAGAACTTGTGTATTCAGGTATACTATAGATTTGCTATGCAATTTCACTTTTAATCAAATGAAAGAGACCTTCTGCAAGTCCCATTTGAAAAGCGCATCTAAAATGCTTATATGCAAGAGAGAGGCGAAAGATACCAAAGGGACATTCAAACTCATAAGTCGAAAATAAACTGACAACGCCATGGCTAAAAAAGAAAAAGACCAACAGACAAATAGTACACGAAACACAACATAGAAAACTTAAGACTGAGCAATACGAACCCCACCAAAAACTGGGGGTGATCTCATGTGCTCCGGAAGGGTAAGCAGATCCTGATTCACATGTGGCACTCGTCGTGTTGCTCATGTTAGTACAAATCCGGTAATAAGTCTCGGTAGGTCACATTCGGGGGAAAGGAGACGGGATTGTAGTTACGACATCTGGAACATATCCGCTATCATCTGTGAAACGGATGTTCCATAACGATCAACCAACTGGTGATGGCGTCCGTAAAATTTAAGTATGGATGATTTCAACTTCACTACTGGGGACTCTTGGTTTGATGCTACATAGAAATGGTTGGGAAGCTGAAATCATCTCTTTTGTCGTAAAGTTTTGCTTTCAACCGACCCTCATTGTCAATTTCTAGATGTAAGTCAATATATGAGGCAGACTTAACTGTATCCGTTGTATCCTTAACCTCAAGTTCGATGGCATAGATGCGTTAAACATAGTCACCAAATTTTGAATATTTATTGAGAGAACATCATCTTTTTAGCGGAAAGTAAAGTTAAAGGATACTGCTAACTTCTTTTTTTCTCCTTAAGAAGTTCCTGTATGAAGTCAGCCTCATATGAATAAAGGAACAAGTCGACAAGAAGAGTGGCATTGTTGGTTCCTATGGGGATGCCGATTGTTTGTTGACAAACACGTCCTCCAAACGTAACAAATATGTTGTCAATCAAGAAATCAAGCATCTAGATAATGTCAGTTTCAGAGAATTTTTTTCTGTTTTTTAGAAACTAAAAATATTTACCAAGATGTGCAAGTTTCTTTAAACTTGTAAAATATGCTGCACATGACCAAAGTGGAGCTGAATGGTAAATTTCAGTAAGACTGATGTTATAATATATATTAATATATCCAAATACAGGATGAAAATATAATTCAAAAATGAAACGTGTACATAAGAAAGCATCTTTGGATTATTATATCTATTTTCAAATATTTTTTTGGCGAGAGCGGAAAAGAGAGACCATCGGAGCGGTGATACTGATGCAAATTTTGATATCGCTTCTCTATATTGTAAGGAGTCACGATATGATGTGTATGAGTGGTTTATTTCATTCCAAATGCTCAATATATATTTTCTCAGTTTCATTAGTTATATCGTTCTGTTAAGGAAAATTAAAGAAACGAAGAATTTGAGTTCAAAGGACCGAACGTATAATTATTGGTTAAATGCTCAATTTTGGGCTTTGTTTGCTTCGACTAATGAACAACCATTGTAATAAACATTACCCAGCAGACGATGCATAAAGAAATAACTAAAATGTAAAAGCAAACAAATCATCAAACAGAGACAAAGGCTCGTAATCTAATTGTTTATAAAAAAATTAAAAGTTCACACAATAATTTAAAACAGAATTGCTGCTTTATTTTTGTTGTTGTTAAATATAACACATGCACAACATATATTTGAATAGGAAATGTTTTGTCTGTTTCCTTTAGGATATGCAGGTGGGGGACATTACACAGAGAAGGGAGCGGCTGTCGAATACGTATGTTTACCACCAGACCCAAATTATGTTAAGACTAGTGGCAAGGATGAAGGCCGAATGTACGGTGCAGAATTTTACACTAATTTTTTTGCTTCTGATGGTGCGGATGAAGACGTCCCTTGTGCTCTCTGTCGAACAAATCATGCTAACACAGCTATAATGATCCCAGGAAAGAATACGTGTTACAGTGGCTGGAAGGTTGGATATCATGGATATTTGTCATCTGGATATTATGGCAATGATGCTGCTACAACTTATGTGTGCGTTGACATAAAGCCAGAGTATATTATAGGAGGAGTGAATCAAAATCTTGGTAAACTCTTTTTTGAAGTTCTTACCAAACGCGGTTCGTTGAAGTGTCCAACATATAAAAACAACTACCCACTGACATGCGTAGTTTGTTCTAAGTGAAAATAAAAATAGGATAAAAATTAAAATAAAATAAAAACTATGTTTCAATTGTTTTATGCAACTAACTTACAACTCTCCTCTTTACTACTGAATGCAAAGACGCAAACTTTAACAAACAAAACAGCCTTTATCTCAATACTGGCCTGCGAACAAGCAAAATGTAATAAATAAATGTTAACCCCAATTTTCCACTGCACTACTGGAGGAAACTCGTACGGTAGGGTCTTTTGGCGAGTAGTAAAAATCTTATTTTGATACGATTACCCTTATCTATATATCCCCGCAATGCCAGGCGTCCTGTGTCTACTCATCGACGATATGTTATAAGAAATGCTGTCAATAAAACAGTTATTTGCTGCAAAGTCTCAGTTTGTCACTTAAGGAAGTTCGCTTGTCATGTTATGGAATTTTTGTCAGATTTTCGGAATCCTTTGGTTTTATCTATTTGAATGCCTTAAAAAATTTTGCCTATTGACCCCCATTTTTCTTTTTTAAAATATTTTACATGCATGAGTATGAGCAATCTGTAAAAGTCTTATAAAACTTTAATTATATTTTAATAGTTTTTGAGAACTTTAACTTGTCAATGATAAAGCTATGAAAAATCAAGAGAGAATATTTTCCGCCAAAATTTCAATGGCTAATATCTCGAAAACAAGCACATTGACATATATTTTATTTTTGCTCTTTTTGTTCCTTTATTAATCTATCAATATATACTAGTGTTATGAAAAGCTTGTTATTTTGAAACTGAGTAGCGAACCGCCTTAATGTTTTGAAGGATGTAACTAGTGTACCTTATGCACTGATTCTTACTCATACCAGTCCACCATCATCTTGATTGTTTAAAGGAGTAGGCCCAGTAAGACCTCTTTTTGGCCCCAAAATATAGCAATTTTACAAAATTGTTAAAATGTAAATTTTTAGCTATTTATTGGAAAGAAGAATACTTCTGTTACATAAATATGGGCTATTTTTGACAATAAAATGGACACGTATCGGGTACTAGCATCATTAAGTCATGCTAAATTACTGAAATCTTCAAAATTTTAGCATTTTGGTTATTTTTTAGACGGTTTCCGTCTGAAATGGAAGTGGCCGCATTTGTGTTCATTCTTAATATTTAAATGTAAGTTGTATTTAATGAAAATACATAACATATATAAAGGTTGAGAATGAACACGGATGCGGCCACTTTCATTTTTGACAAAAACCATCTGAAAAGTGACATATTATGGCATATTTGATAGATTTTTCATATTTAAGCTTGAATTTGAGCGTCTTTAATGACTAAATCAGTTCAAAACTTTCACATAAACTAATTGAATCGACTGAAGTAGACACTTAAGTGTTTAAAAAGTGTCTTAAATCTTTCATCAGATAAACCTGAATTTTGAGGCCAAAATCGGCCCTTACCGGACCTACTCTTTTGTCATCTTGATTTCGATATTGTTACCAGATACGTAGTTTGTTAAAGTAATGGTCATAGCCATCAAATGAATATACCGTGTTTGTAAGAACACTCGAAATCAAGGAGATATGGAGTATACGCCCATGAAACAGCAACCCAACGACAAAAACAAGCAACGGGTAACTAGAGGGCAACATAAGTCTTTAACAATAATCCCAGGTGTCTTTAACAATCAAAGAAAAAAAAAAGAAATATGGAATAAAACAACCACGGACGAGTGAAGTCTTTGGACTGGCAGATAAATACAACAAAGCCCTTTTCACACAATTTCGATTAGTGGAATGAAATAGAAAGACACGTAAATCATGTGATAAAAAAAATCTACAGGAAAAGCGCTTTACTTTAAAATAGAATAACAGTTTAATAGATAAACAAATCATAACACAATTAAACAACAAACAAACAACATAAATACTACGAATACATATAAAGGCATTCTCACAGTTACTGAAAGTACTATGCTCAAAGTAACAAATATGCTGATATGAAATCAAACTGTCCAACATCCATCTCTCTATCTCACTGAAGTTTTCACATATCAACGTAAAGAGCAGAAAGACAATATCTTGCACAACGACCAGATCAAACAATACAGAATGTAAATGTAGAAAACGAATTAAAAGAAACATTTTAGTATTGTTTCAATCTATACACTAGCGAATTGTATTGGTTGTCCCCAACGAATTCTACACATATCAAGTTAACAATAGTCCAGTATAATACTAATCTTCATCAATAAGTTTATTGAGCAAAAAATAATTTTTTGAAAGATTATTCTAAAAATTGCTTTTCATTTTACGGCAACTGATCAATAAAACCACTTTTCATCGTTGTTAAACACTGAGAACTCTACAGCTAAACATTGTGGTGACCTTTCAATAACATTCAACCAAACTGTCCCTGCACAAAAGTTTTGACTCAATAGATTATAATTTTCAGTGCGGTTACGGGACGTCAAAATCATTTTAAATTTATTTCTGTGTGAATAATATGCAAGCAAAAAAATATTCAAAGTTTCTCCTATTCGATTTCGCTTCAAAATAAAAATTAAAAAAAAACAACAACAAAAACATTACCAACGTTCCATGAAGAACTTATGAATTATTGCTCCGTTTAAATGATTTGAACAATTTCTTTTTAAATGGCATCGCTCGCCCCATAATTCACAGAAAATTACATCTCATTTGATGTTGAAAACTAATTTCTCTCCTAAGAACAGAATTTTGTAAATTTCAAAATATTTTTTTCCCCACCAAACAGGTAGCGCTTGCTAACATGTACATTTCGAGGGAAAATAACAAAGTAAACATTTCACTCGGTTACTCAAAATGTCCAAAGAACAAGTGGTCAATTTTGAGTGGCATATTTGTAAAATATCAATAAACAGATTACTCTTTTCGATTGTGAGTTTTGAGAAATAAGTAAAAATGCCAACCAGAGTGACTCTTACCTCGAATTTGACTTACTATATCGCTGAATTGCAAAAGGAACCACCAACAAATTGCAAGATTAGTCACTTTTTGCACCTCAGTATTTGTATTCCTATGCACTACCGAGTCGAAGCATTTTTTGCCGGGGTAATTTAGACGCAGTGGACAAGGAACAGCAACGAAATCATTGTCTTTTTAGTTTATAGCATAAATGTTCTCTAATATATTTCACCACATCCATTTTATTGTAAACGTTTCCGGTGTTGAACCATACAACATATCAAGAATAAATCTTCAATGTAAATAAAAAGTAGCTGTTGTTCAACCGCGCGGAAGTATGTTGTTCAGAGTGCTGTTTAAAGAGAAAGAACTAATTTGACTGGTATATTGTTCCTATATAAAAATGGTTATATTAACGTTTCTATAGAGGTTTACGTATTCTTCTTGTTTTTATTTTTTATTTTAAAACAACACCTTTTTCAATATATGATTATAATCAGTCGTTTATACAATTCGTCACCATATTAGGTAAAAGCAAAACTACACTTTTCTTTAAAAATGTCTTATGCACATCGCAATATTGAGACATTCGTTTATCATATACAAGTAAACCTTCTGATATCCTTTGTGACCTTTTCTAGCTCTAGAATGATAAGGATCAATTTGTGTCTCTTAATTTCCTCATAGCTGATATTCGACATCTTACCATGATTGCATGGTTAATATATTTTCTTTGTTTTAAGGTCAATCTGGTCACCACAGAAGAGAAGAGGTTATTGCTCAATGATCCAGATGTACTAGTTAATCGACTGAACCGACTGGAAAGTGTCCTTACGGTACTCAATAGTACAATACAGCAACAGTCAATAATAATTCAGAAACAGGAAAAGACAATCAAACAGTTACAAGATTATTTTAGCACTGCGCAAAGTAAGACTATTTATGATGTTATTTATAGTTCGTACTTTTAACTTACTATTCATTAAAATCCGCTTTATTTGATGACTAGATTATAAAAAAAACCTAACTCTAACAGACACAAGATATGGTTTTTTCTTCTCTTTTTAAGATTGCAATATAGCTAATAATTCGAGATTTCAAAAGTGAAAGATATTGTATCAGTTAAGGAATATTGTTCATAAATTCTTAATTTTAAAAGGTCTTCTAATGTCTCCTTCCGTGGCTGCATAAAAAGTAGCTAAAATCAACACATTTTATAAACCCGTGTACAACGATATTAATAAAGTTAAAATTTTAAACTTACACTTCAGAAATATTCATAGAGGTAATGATTTTATACAAAATATTGCTCTTTTTTATCTTTAGAATATTAGCCCTTTGTATTGTGACGTCATGAATATTCCCACAAAACATTGTGAAAAGGCATTTAATGTTTCTTTCCAGTAAAATAGGGTTTAAACCATACAAAATTCCTAGACATTAAACGTTTTTATTCTTCTCTCCACTTTTTTATAGGTTTGAACTACTGCGTGTACTTGCGTATTTTCAGCGTATTTGTGTCTTTTAAACCAAACGCATGTTAAATTGCAGTTAATGAACCGATTGGTCATCTCCTAAAAAATGTATGGTTCATAGCTTTACCTCTGTCAATATACTCTTTGACAGATGACCGACTTGCCCATATATTACTATACGGACGTCAATGCCATAATTGCTAATGTGCTTTCAATGTCTGAAGTAAAAAAAATATATTCCAGGCCTTGGGACAACGTATATTAGATGGGGAAGAAAACAGTGTCCAAATAATAGCACAGAATTAGTCTATTCAGGTAAGAATGTAATCAAAATACATGAAACAAAATTCATTTAAATAACAATCAAATAACTCCAACATTGCCTTATTAAACACAGATGACTCTAGTTTTTCTATCCGAACAGCTGCAGGGGCATTCTATCATTGAAGATTTCTATGGACATTTTTTATTGTTTTTACCATATAGCTATTCCTCTTTTTGTGACAGAATTAGGATATTTCGTCGTCGGCGGCGTTCACAAATATTCACTCTGTGGTTAAAGTTTTTGAAATTTTAATACCTTTCTTAAATTATCCTGGATTTCTACATGGACAGAATCTTGTTTATGATCATAAGATAGTATCCAGAAGTAAATTTTGTAAAAAAAAAATTCTATTTTTCCGTATTTTACTTATAAATGGACGTAGTTTTTCTGCCAGTTAACATAACATTCACTCTGTGGTTAAAGTTTTTGAAATTTTAATAACTTTCTTAAAATATCCTGGATTTCTACCAAACGTGGACAGAAGCTTGTTTATGATCATTAGATAGTATCCAGAAGTAAATTTTGTAAAAAAAAAAATCCTGTTTATCCATATTTTAGTTATAAATGGACTTAGTTTTTATGCCAGTTAACATTACATTCACTCTGTGGTTAAAATTTAATTTTTTTTAATAACTTTCTTAAACTATCCTTGATTTGATCAAACTTGGACAAAAGCTTGTTTATGATCTAAAGCTAGTATCTAGAAGGAAATTTTGTAAACATTTATTTCCTTTTTTCCGTATATTACTTAGTTCTTCTTCCAGTTAACGTTACATACAGACTGCAGTTAAACTTTTCAAAACATTTATTAAATTTATAAACCATCCTAGATGTTTACCAAACTTGGACAGAAGCTTCTTACACTAAAAAGATAGTAACTAGAGGAAAATTTAAAAACAGAAACATGTTTAAACTCTTTTATAAATCTAGAGATTTGATTGCATACTGTATTCATTTTTTACAAGAATAACTTTTTTCATACATTTCAAACGTTTTATTTCATTAACTGTAAATCTATTATGTGCATTCCCCTATTACACTGAAAACATAGACAACAGCAAAAGTAGGCAAGACACTGGGTTCTGCGGAACCCTTACGAATTTTTTCCATTTAGTTCTCATTTGTTTTTGGTTTCCCCTTTATTTTATATTCCGTTATCCCATTCCAGCCCCTAATGTATGTATTCATATGCAACTGTGCAGTGTTGTTTCTGATTATTTTTTTCTTCTTGAACGACGGTTTGCAACAAAAACTGTAGCTACCTTAGCTAGGTTCCTGTTGTAGCTAGCAATTTTTATCCTTGCTTTCCTTGTTAAAGAGAGTGGTTATATGTTGGCATCTTCACTATGCATATTTTTTATTGTGTTATTTTATGTATTTCACGACATTTTGCCCAAACAGGTAATTGAGAATGTTCTGCGCCCGTAAAATTGGTCAAATACCACACCACAATTTGTGCCTGTACCGTATGTTGTTTGTTGTTGTTTGCCATGTGTATGGACAGAAGCTTCTTACACTAAAAAGATAGTAACTAGAGGAAAATTTAAAAACAGAAACATGTTTAAACTCTTTTATAAATCTAGAGATTTGATTGCATACTGTATTCATTTTTTACAAGAATAACTTTTTTCATACATTTCAAACGTTTTATTTCATTAACTGTAAATCTATTATGTGCATTCCCCTATTACACTGAAAACATAGACAACAGCAAAAGTAGGCAAGACACTGGGTTCTGCGGAACCCTTACGAATTTTTTCCATTTAGTTCTCATTTGTTTTTGGTTTCCCCTTTATTTTATATTCCGTTATCCCATTCCAGCCCCTAATGTATGTATTCATATGCAACTGTGCAGTGTTGTTTCTGATTATTTTTTTCTTCTTGAACGACGGTTTGCAACAAAAACTGTAGCTACCTTAGGTAGGTTCCTGTTGTAGCTAGCAATTTTTATCCTTGCTTTCCTTGTTAAAGAGAGTGGTTATATGTTGGCATCTTCACTATGCATATTTTTTATTGTGTTATTTTATGTATTTCACGACATTTTGCCCAAACAGGTAATTGAGAATGTTCTGCGCCCGTAAAATTGGTCAAATACCACACCACAATTTGTGCCTGTACCGTATGTTGTTTGTTGTTGTTTGCCATGTGTATGTGACTGTTTCATTTCAGAAGAGTTGGCTGTTGATTGGTATAGTCTGACACGTACTTAAATCCCATTCGGTTCTATAAAATTACACTGTTTATTTTAAATACTGTTTATAACCACTGTGTCGATCACTCTGTGGTATCTGTTTTGTCCCCGCGGTATCACAATCACATAAGCTAGCGCCCATATGTTCGCATGAACTATTATTGACACAGACATTTTTCTGTCAGTTAACTGTTCATTTAATATAAAAATCATTCGAAACACGTTTTTTTATACCCCCATGCAGGCACAGACAAATTCTCGGTTATCAATGTTCACTATTGATTTTACCTTTTTTGATGAAAGCCCCACTGATAAGTATTATGTAGACGAAACGCGAATCGGTCGTTCTAAATTATTATTTGTGTATCTTAGATGTGTTTGATAATGAAAATCTTGTATTACTTGAAATGTAACAAGTGAATGTATAATCATTTTACGGTCGATTTTAGAAAACACTGCTTAGACCACGGCTTTTTATACACATATACGTATCATATTTGAAGTATAGCAGGTGTACTTTCTTTTAATTACAGGCTTTGCAGGTGGTGGCAATTATGCTGATACAGGCTCAGCTGCTGAATACGTATGTTTACCACCAGATCCAAACTATGTAAAGACCAGTGGGAGTGACTATAGTCGTATGTACGGTGCAGAATTTAATTCCAACTTTTTTGCCTCCAATTCTGATGACGAGGACGTTCCCTGTGCTCTCTGTAGAACAGAACGTGCTACATCTATTATAATGATTCCTGGTAAGAACACATGTTACAGTGGATGGAAAGAGGAATATCATGGATACTTGGCCTCGGGATATCATTCTCATAATGTTGCTTCTGCCTACGTATGCGTTGACATACACCCAGAATACATTATGGGAGGTGTGGACCAACGTTACGGTAAACTTTTCTATGAAGTTGTTACCAAATGCGGATCTTTGAAATGTCCACCTTATATAAACAATTATCCATTGACATGTGTAGTCTGTTCTAAGTAATAAAATAAAAGATACCAAATATGTATTCAGATTTTTTAATATATACATTGCTCAAGTGAATGTCGAAGGATTTGTAGGAATCGATGGTCGAAAACAATTGTATTTCTATGGACAAAGCTCAGGTCATTCATATACTTCTGTCACTTTCATTTTTTAATTGGCTGTTGCTACACGGAGTAATAAAATCAAAGGGGGAACACAACAACAACATTTAAAGTCTAATAAAAAAGACAAAAAAAAAAAATCGCCAGAAAGAAAAACTAAGAAAGGACAAACACTTTGCGCCCACAACTCAACTACACAGAAAACCTTAATATGAGACAGATACGTTTATTTAATAAATGATTGAGATATATAATACGAACAAAGTAAAAGTGTATGTCTAAACACACTTCAGTATTAAAGACCATTAGCAAATGCTAAAAGAGAGGCAGAAGATACCTGGGGACATTCAAACTCACAAGTCGAAAATAAGCTAAAAAAGCCATGACTAAAAAAGAAAAAGACCAACAGACAAACAATAGTACATAAAACATAACATAGAAAATAAAATTTAAAAACTGGGGCATAATTCAGGTGCTGCGGAAGGGTAAACAGATTCTGCTCCACATATGGCACCCGTCGCGTTGCTCGTATTAATACAAACCGGGTAATAAGTCTAATTCGGTGATCACATTCGGGAACAGGAGGCGGAATTGTATTTACGACATTAGGAACACAACCGCTATCATTTGTAAAATGGATATTCCATAACGGTCAACCAACTCGTGATGGCGCCAGTAAAATTTACGAAGGAATGATTTCAACTTCTCCACTTGGAATTCTTAGTTTTATAGCATCCTTGTGAGCAGCAACCCTCTATCAAGGAAATTATAATATGATAGGAAATACAAGCCCTGGAATATCGTATCAACTGGGAGACACATACTCCGAATGCAGGCACTGCTGGAATATTGCTACATAGAAATGGAAAGATAACAATTGGGCAGCTGAAATCATCTTTTTTGTCGTAAAGATTTCTTTACAACCGACCCTCATTGTCAATTTCTAGATGTAAGTCAAGATACGAGGCAGACTTAACTGTATCTATTGTATCCTTTACCTCAAGTTCGATGGGATAGACATTAATTTTAAGGAATCTACTAATTTCTTTCTTTCTTCTTAAGAAGTTCAACAAATTTTGAAATATTTAGTAAGAGAAAATCATCTATATATTGGAAAGTTTAATTTAAGGAATCTACTAATTTCTTTCTTTCTTCTTAAGAAGTTCCTGTATGAAATCAACCTCATATGAATAAAGGAACAAGTCGGCAAAAAGAGGGGCACAGTTGGTTCCAATGGAAATGCCGATTGTGTGTTGAAAAATTCCTCCTCTATACAAGAAAAGATTGTTAAAATTTACGTAAACAACAACTTAATATAAGAGATAAGGTTCAATGTTAACTTCAGTTCAGTAGACCAGAGAAAAACTATTGTTTTGTTAAATGTGTGTATTGTGAACAAAATATAAAAAAGAGATACATTTTGTATGTTGTTTTATATCATGACACAACATCCTTACACGTATTGCATACAATCATAAGCAACAAATGATGAGTTTTATAATATTCTTAATTTAAGAATATTTCACAGAACTTCAACGTGTAATGAAAACTCACAATGTTTGTATTGATAGTTTTTTTTTACATCAGTCTAAAAATACAATACAAATGAATAAAGATTGAGCAACACAAACCACAACAAAACAACCGGAATGATCTCAGGTGCTCTGGAAGGATAAGCAGTCCCAGCTCCACACGTGGTATGTGTAGTACATAGCATTCGGTGATTAGTGATTAGGTGACAAAATGGATAGGATATTAACTACGGCAATAGAAACATATATGGGGTCATCTATGACATAGATGTTCAATAACGCTCAAACAAATTACGATAACGGCCGTAAAACGCTCGAAGGGATGACTTAAACTTTACCACCTGGGACCCTTTGTTAAAAAAGCTTCCTTGTTAGTAGCAATCCACGCATGAGAAAATGATGATAGGAAACGCACAGTTTGAATATTCTATCAACTTGGAGAAATGTATTCCATATGCAGTCGCTGCGTGAATGTTATAAAAAATTGAAAACAACACGTTTAATAATTTCATGCGTCCGAAGCGCTTTTCATCAGGAACGCTCAAAGCCAAACATTTGAAATCCGAGGGATATATAAGTACCGAAACAGTTGAAGAGCAATATGACAAAAATACATAAAACAAATAGCCAAATTTATCTAAGGTCAACTTTGCATGAGGGAGTTGAAACCTTAGTTTCTTTATAATTTCAAAATTTATAAACGGATAATTTTAGAAAGATTTGTTATAAATCATGTCAGTACCGAAGCAAACCATTCAAAGTCAATGAAACATGACTGAAGTTGCAGGGCCAAATAATCTCTGTAAGTGAGATATGATAATTCTATTACAACAGCATACTAAATATTATTGACCTTTTGTTAATGGTTCTCCATAAACTGACCTAATAAATAACTTTAAGTCAATGAAACATTGTCTAGGAGGCAAGGACGTTTGACCTCCATAACAGTAAGCCAATGCTTAAACAAATTCATATCAAATACCAATTGACTTATCGTTAGTTGTCCCGTCTTAAAAAATACCTCATCTTATCACATTTCTTTTAAATGTTGACGCTGCCGAAACAGCACGCCTCCATTACCTCGTAGAGGCGATACAAAACATATCTATTCTAACATTTGTTTGCCCTTTTGAATCCTCCATTTCTACTTAAGAAAATGCCTGTACCAAGTCAGGAATATGACAGTTGTTATCTATTCGTTTGAAGTGTTTGAGCTTGTGGTTGTGCCATTTGATTAGGGATTTTTCGTTTTGAATTTTCCTCGGATTTCAGTATTTTTGTGATTTTACTGTTTATATCTGGAAAATCTATATTTGATATAATGTTATTGCAATTTTATTGATGTTTACATGTTAAACACCATTCATACAGTTTACATGTTGTAATGATATTGGAAAATAATTTTTTATTCATATTGACGTTTTATTTGCTTTTATATCAAATGTTCATTAAAATTCATATTAAGCTGATAGTTCCAAGGTTAAATGTGTTGATACTTTATGTATTGTGTAGCTGCACTGTTGACCTTTATCTAGCATATCTTATTCTTATATATTTCTCTCAAAATCTGTTTTAGGAATATGTACTTGCTGTTCTAAAACCACGAATTCAATAAAGTGCCTAGGACGGAACTCAGTTGCGAATTTAAACGTGTTATATGATTCTACTAAGAAAAGAATGGATCTTCTCAAATTTTGCTTTTTTTTTTTTGATTTTATAAAGAATATTCCCAAAGAAGGGGATGCCATCCCATAGTCCCCTCGTCATGGATCGGCATTGGAATAGTCGCATGTCATAAAAGGTTTTGGGAATGACGGACAAATTTCCAGTTCCATACTCTAAGACGGGACATTTAATCTTCTTCAACCGTAACATGTCAACGAATTTATTTCTTAGTGGAAAATGTTTTGTGATAAATAGTAACGTTTACGTCTTACATTATTGTTTCGAACGAAAAGTTGTTTATTTTTAGTTGTATTATTCCTTTGAAATTGGTAAAACACGATTATATTCTTATATATTATATACATGATATATTTACGCTTTCAATGATTTTTTGTTTTTGTTTAGTTTTACACAAAGGAATTATATGAAAATCAGTTTAGCAATGAAAATGACAGTCGTTTATACCATTATGGAAAATTTATGAGTTGGTCGAACGAAGGTTACCCTTTGATAAAGTTAGTTATATACACGTTATTTTTAAACGTGCCATTGTCCTAATGCATGTAGCAATTTTGATACCTTTTGTGACCTTATCTAAGACTTGATTGATAAGATTTGTGTCAAATCGTTTCTTCATAGCACACAACATACATTCAAGTATGATTATGTGGTTAATATATTTTCTTTGTTTTAAGGTTTATCTGGTTACCACTGAAGAGAAGAGGTTATTGCTCAATGATCCAGATGTACTCGTGAATAGGTTAAACCGAGTGGAAAGTATTGTGGCGATACTAAATGCAACAGTAAAACAGCTAACTACTAAAAACCAGCAACAGGAGAATATGATTCAACAGCAGCAGACATCAACCCAACAACAACAGACATTGAACCAACAACAGGAACAGACAATTAAACTCTTGCAAAGCTCAGCTAACAGCATTAAAAGTAAGACTATTACGCTATTCATAATTATCTTACATTTGTCATAATATTCTTTAAAACACTAATCGACCAACATGACCTATATAAACTTTTGATAAATCTTTGGTAAAATCTTGTGGTCAGGAAATGCCAAAAAATTCTCGTTCAAACCGTCATTTAACTTCATGGCAAAATCCGTTGATGAAAAACATACGGTAGCATACAGTAACATAGAGGATTCCTAGATGTCTCTGGTCTAATGCCAATACACTACCAAGTTATCAACCAGCAATGCAAGTAAATAATAATGTAACTCGCGCCCTTATTATCAAATGGATGACGAAAAAGTAAAGTGTATCTTTTCAATTAGGAGTTGGACTTGAAGTTACACATTAGAGTGGAACTTTCAAGCATAGTTCTGTTGAATTTTAGCTGAAACAAATGAATGCAATTAGAGATTGATCAAGTACACACGTAACTGTCATAAATGTTCATTAGCCTTAATGATAAATGGTAAGATTACCTTCTGTAGACACGCGTAAGGTCAATAGAGAGATATTTCTCGACATTGCCTTATATTAACATTTCAAAACATATTTTCTTTTATACAAGAGTATTTTAACTGGTATGTAAGGTCAGTTCATAAAGAAATTGATACATCCATATTTGGAACCATTGTTGATCTCAACTGAATTGTAAACAGTAATGAACTATAGGCTCCGTGTTGAAGACCAATCTGATCCTGATAATCGGTACCTATAATGATTTACTTTTACAAATTGTGACTTGATGGAGAGTTGTCTCATTGGCACTCATACCACATCTTCTTATATCTATATACATGTAGTACTAGAGCTAATTTCCTAAATATTCCTTTTGTTATTTACATTTCTAAATAATCTAAAAACAATCAACAATCTACCTCAGGACAGGAATGACCTAATAAATTTGATCACAGATAACATTATAATTCTTTTTAATTGGTTTGATCGTAAGCTGGCCGAGTGGTCTAAGCAGTTACTACTGTAATCACTGGCCAGTCAACACTGAGGTTGTGAGTTCGAACCCCGCTCGTGCGGGTGCACTCGACTTCAATCTTAATTGACTAGGATTGTTAGTTTTTCTATCGAAGGTCGGTGGTTTTCTCAGGGCACTCCGGCTTCCTCCACCAATAAAAACTGGCCTCCATAAAATAGCACAAAAGCGGTGCTTAAAAATGGAGTTAAAACTAAAAAAATCAACGTAAGCTGGCTCATGAATTTTTAACATATATTATACGCTTTCCCACCGTGCTCAGTTCACCTCTAAACTTGATTAAAAAACCCAGAATGATGAATACTTCCGTATGTTGTCATTGTTGTTCCCAACTTGTCATAAAGACTTTGTATGACATTTTTTATATGTATTTATCAGGTCTTGGAACAACATATATAAGATGGGGAAGAAAGCAGTGTCCAAATAATAACACAGAATTGGTATATTCCGGTAAATATTTATTGAAGTTCATTCTGTTTATTTCACACTTTTAGTAATTGCAAAAATTTGAAAATTTTGATAAAAACACCAAAGTCTGTTTCCTGTGCTACTTTAAAGAGTCAGTATCTGCAACATTTTTCAAAGCCGTGAAAATACATTAACTTTTTTCATATCATTGAGCAACCATGTTTCTAGTCATTTTCAGGTTTATAACAATACAAAATCCCTATTTCTTATGTTATCTGTCCAACAAGAGCTCATTAACTATGCAGGAATATACGCTCACGTCACAAGCTATTCTATCTCTTCTGTTTGCACGTTTGTATTTACGTATAAATAGAAAAAAAGACTTACTATTAATTTCTCTTCGGTATCCAAGAAAATTAATTTCATTTGCCAGTTTTCTGAAGATTTTTAACAGGTCGGGAACTATAAATTTCCTGATGTCAGAATATATTTGCATAGTAATTTTCCTATTAGAAAGGTTAACATAGCCTTGCAAAATTGGTCAATCGACTCAATGAACTACAATGCATTGAGGGCTACTATGAGTTTACTGCGAGAGGTTGTAAACTTATACATGTATTAAATAGTGCCTGGGACTCTGATAACTAATGTTTTTGTTCAGCGAATGTGTTTAATGTAACATCTTCAATTTGATGCTCAGATTTAAAAAAAAATTGTTTACTAGCTTCACGATTCGACTTTCTTATTCGTCTTGTAATAATAGTTGAACAGTTTTTGTCCATTTTTATACATTGAACATTTGCATTAATTTCACGTGAAACAGTGAAATTTCCAATGGAGTAATCACTGTCTGTATCCAACAAACAAGAGAAATATGATAGGCTTATATCCAACGCTGCAATTGTCACAAAATATGTTAAAGTTAGCGTCCTTGTCGCACATAAATATAGATAGCATCTAAAATGATTTTATTAAGATTGGCAAATATCTGAGTCACTAAAATATACATAAAAACAAACTTTGCAAAGACGAAAACAAAACAAATCTACAGCTACTTACAATTATTGTTTAAAATATTGCTTCATTACCTTCAGAATAAAAGGAACAGTTTGAAAAGGTCCAAAAAACCAAAATATGCCAAAAAATCAATATGGATAGATTTTGATAACATTGACAGACAAGCATTAATAAATTTCCTTTGCAGCTTTGATGACATATGATTTAGGATTAATACATTCTGTACCAGCCAAATTTAAAATATAAAAAAATACACATTATTCTATAGTAAACATCTACTTACAAGATAGTAATGGAAAACCAAACTTTCTGAAAGGATGTGATATGATTGCCAATGAGACAACTATCCACCAAGGTTCACATAAAGTGATTGTAGGTAATTATAGGCAACCGTGAGTCCTCCACAATGAGAAAAACGATATGGTGTAGACGGCTATAAATGGACCCGATTTTTGATTACGCGTGTTTGTTTCTTAAAGACAAATTAATAAACACATGCCCTTACTCGATTTAAATGACTTTTATATCATAAAAAGAAAGTACAATATCATAAAATCAATTTTGTGAAAAAAGCTGGGAAATTTTAGCTTCCCCAACAGATATTCGGGTAATTCAGACACTTGATTCTTCGCACAGAAGCAACTCCTCGTTAATCTGAGCATGGAATGAATACTTTATATCACGGACTATAAATGTGGATACGAAAAAAGAAAAATTAAGCAAATTTGTTTATACCGCCATGCATGCAAAATTGTTTGTATTTCAATATATAACACGTGTTCTCGGTTGATCGTTAACACATACTAGTCCATCATGCACAGTTACTCATTTAGTGGATTGGTCAAAAACCCAGGTAAAAAAATGCGTCATACGTAAATAAACAATAACAAGTACGCGAATATAAGTATGCTAACTCATGCATATCCATATAAGGTAGTGTTCTTGACTTTTTTAATAATTAATTAGTAGAGATATTACACTTTCAAAAATATTGTATGTAAATCAGGAAGGTATTCTATGTATTTTAAAGTCTGTAATTTTCATAAACTTTAATCAAGAACCATACTACAGTAAGATTTAAAATCAAACTGACATATAACAAAACTTGGAAAGAAGCATTTTCAAGCCCAAGAAATAGCACATGAAGAGTAATTGTTCAAATAAACATTTTCATAATTTACTAACAAATGGACTCAGCTTTTGCAGATCAACATGACGCTTTTACACGGACAGCAGCAATTTCAACCGAGGCACAGGATTCCCGAGAAACCTTTACGAATTGTGATAATAAAATTAAAAAAAAAAAAACAGTGTGGGCATTTATTACAAACCGTATGCTTGACTAATTGTATTTTTTTAAAATGCAAATCAAAAAGACTCGAACTCCACTGAAGATTGTAGTGTAGTCGAAAAGTTAGATTGACAAACTAGATATAAGCCCGATAATATCTTCCATTCGTTTTTCAAAAAAGAGTCAACGAAACTGCGTGTGGCCATTTCGTGAAAGAAGCAGAGCACTTCTTTACTTACATGACATATTATACAGATGAGACTGCTGTCGGACTATAAATATCATTCACAACTTTAAGGTGGTTTTCTATATTAATGCAAAGATAGTCGTCGTTCGACGATGAGTGTTGCTCAGACTTTAGGTCTCTTTGTGCTGTATTAAAGATCGGTATTTGTCTTTTCGTCTTCTTCTTTTTTTATACCACAGATTGTCTGTTGATATCCAACTCCCGAATCCCTGTTTCGATTATTCCTTGATTACAAGAATAATATTAACATATTATTAGAATTGAATTAATGTTTCAGAATATTAATAAACAAGCCCCACTCCTCTTGTTCAATGATCAATTTTTGACTGAAGTCAAGGACTTTAAATGTCTAGGGAATATTATTAACTATAGAGGAAAATTTACAAAAACTTCTGGAGAGCTGTATGAAAAAGGTATTATCAGACCTATTTGGACATACAACTCTGAAATTTGGTTTATGGATAATTTTTAGTTAACTTTTATCTTATCCCAGGCATAGATAACCTTAGCCGTATTCGGCACAACTTTTTGGAATTTTGATCCTCAATGCTCTTCAACTTAATACGTGTTTGGCTTTATAACTATTTTGATCTGAGCGTCACTGATGAGTCTTATGTAGACGAATCTCGCGTCTGGCGTATCAAATTATAAGCCTGGTACCTTTGATAACTATTTAGGGCATCTTATATAGCTGCTGGAAATAACATATTCTGTGGTACTCTTGCACTGGCAGAAAAAATATCCTTTTGAGAAGGTTCATTCTAAATTTTGTAAAGCAGTATTAGGCCTGAAAAAGACAGCCACTTACAAAGGTGCTAGATCAGACTCTTATATAAAAACTCAAACACTCATGTATGTTTATAGAATAAACTCTAATAATATTAATCCTCTGGTTAAAAAATCACTACAAACGAATATAAATTTACATTCATCAGAAATTTATTCTTGGTACTCATTTGCAGATAAAATTTTTAAAGATATGAAAATAAACCCA